ATTAAGGAANAAAAAAACTATATCACACCCTGAAATTGCTCATAAACAAAAAGAAAGTTATTAAGGAAACTCGATTTTGGCTGTTTTAGGATGTGTTGAAGACGAAAATTTTTATTGTACGAAAATCTTCTCTTAACGCAACCTAACTACTAGTTTTCTTGAAAATATTATGTCCACCCTAATGTAAGAAAATAACAACTACTTGTATTTACGAATTAAAAAGGAAATTGGGAATTTAGGTACTTACAGATATCATCATTGCTCATATTTAAAAAAAACGGTCACACCGCGGTACTTATCAGGCGTCGTTACACCGTTATCACTCGCCGTGCATTCAAACCCCAACACAACGGGTAAAAGTCAAAGCGAAAGATAAATCGCAATTGGCCACTTCAACACAAAAATTATAGCAGGAAAACAGTGACAGCAGTTAGCTGCTGGCTCTCAGCGCAACAGTGATGATAAACAAGTAAACAACTTTAACTCAACACAACAATTACAAACGAACGAACGATCAATCAATCAATCGAAACTTTAAACGACCAACTCTGCTGAGTTAACTTACATACATATATATGTACATGGAATTAGTTTTCAAAGTATACACAAATAAGAAACGGCTTCAAGAAAATCACGCTACGACTTAGTTTTTTTTTAATTTTTTTTTTATATTGGCTATGCGATATTGATTTGGTATCAACACAATTTTTACTAAAAATTTCTTCTTTTTTTCTATATTCACTAGTTTTATCGATATCAATTGGCTCAAGAATGTCGCAACTAAATTTTATAAAAACTTTCAGCTACATGAACTTTTTAATGCCAACAGCGTTTGATCGATTGAACTTAAGTAAAACTTTAGAATTTTAATAATTTAATGATTTTCACAACACACTTTTCAACACAACATCAACACCTTTCAACTTCTTCGACAACTCGTTTCTTGCTTTCCGTGCTGCACTCGATTGCTGATTCTATTTTCTTTTTGTTTTTTTTTTTTTTAATTCTCCTCCGCCTGATTTTCTACCGCTATGACGAAATTAGCTGAGAAATATTAACACAACATTGAGGCGCGCAGCAATTATCGCTTTGTTTTGCCAACCCGCTTCTTTATAACTGCTCGAATTTCTGTGTAGTCATCTGATTGTTGTACACTCGATTTTGGCAACACCCGCGCGCCACTTGCCTTATCTGCCCGAATATGCGGAGATAAAAACTGTCTTCGTTTGCTGATTTTGAGGCGGCCTGAACAACCAACGCCTGCCTGTTGCCTTTCGATTGTCGAGCGACGGGTGGGATCCAAGTGGCTGAGCAAAGGTTCTGGTGACAGATAGCAGACAGAGGGGCGAAAGGGTAGAGTAAACGTTTAATTTATGACACTTAGGTTATAAAACTAATATAAAAATAGACCGGTGTGGGTGAGATTGGGCCACTATTTTGTAATAATAAGTATCTACATACATATATTTAATACATATGTACATGTGTGTATGCGAATTAGAATATCGCTGGCTTAGCGTGAAAAGTTGCTAAGTCCACTTTATCTAAAACATCATATTTTTTTGCTTTTATATAAGAAGCAAGAAGAACTAAAAATTCTTTGTTTCCTAAAAGAGCAAACTACCTTTTTTATTGCCAACCGTTTCTAAATTGTGGCATGCAAATGTGCTAAGTCCAAAAAGGTCACAGAAAACTCCCAACAAGTACAACAACAATTTTTCATAAACGTTGTAAAATTTTATTCGTTTTGAGTTCTTTAGGCTTGGAATACGCGAAATCTCGCATTGAAATTTTTTTGCCAAATAATAGTTTATTTCCACCAAGCCTTAACTGCACTTTATGCGGATTGGAAAACGGTGATCCCAACTCGAAGGGGGTAATTCCACCTATTAAGTAGAAGCAAACGAAAGGAGAAAAGCAAAACTTAAGAAAAAAACCTTGCCGATCACCCCATGTTGGAATTATTGGAACTTCTCTGAGCTCTTAACTGCAGTTAAGCCTTTGGTGTAAATAGGCTATAAGTTCTTGAAGAAAATGAGTTTGAAAAGTTTTTATTCTCTTATGTAAAATTTGAAAAATTTTACCTAGCAGCTTTTCCCTGCAAGGAAGCGATATGTATGTTTGTATGCAGGTCGTTTTTCGCAAGTTATCAAATTTATGAACGTCGTGCTCGCGCAGCTTTTTCAAACATTGTAAATACATATTAAACACTCAAATGCATACATATGTACATACATATGTATATACGTAAATAATAAATTTGTTCCGCTAATAGTTGGGGTTTGGCAGGTTGTGGGCAACGTGCGCGAACTGTCAGCCGACGAACGGATATTCACATTAAAATCGTTTGCTGATTAGATTGACTATGCGAATGCGAAATGACTTAATGAAAAATTAGGCGCTGATTGGTTATATATTTTAATTGTAGAGTTATGCCAACACAGCTGGATTTGACTGTGTTTAACATGCCGGTGGACAGGCAGAATGCTTGTTTGCTCTTAAGGTATGGACCTGATATCTAACTGTGGTGTTGACTGCAAAGAGGTCATCGACGAGTTGATACGAGTATTGTCAACCCCCTTTGCGGGAGCGCAAGAGAGGGCCAGACTATCCTTACGGTTGTAAGTTTATGTATTATTCCCTTAAATAAAACTGATACCGGGTTACTCTAACTACGGGTATCTTACTGATCGCAATCGATTACATTTTTATATATGGACATTAGGGCGGCTAAATGGTTTTCGACTATGCGCGTATTGCACAGAAGGATTCGACGTGTAATACTACGCAAATTTGCTGAAGAAACCATTGGTCTAAGATGAATTTGGAGTTTGCCAAATTGCGAAACTTTAAATTCAAAATTCACATACATATGTATCTATGTAGTTTTCGTTAACAATTTGCTTGGTAGCCTTTTAATAATTATCTAAAAGGCGAGAACTTTATTGATTGAACTTAATGAAAAATGGAAAGTGACAAAAAAAAATTGCCAGTGTGGAGAGATGTTAACCCATTTGTGAGAATCAGTAAATTTAATTTGCTGATGAGCACTTGCAAAAATTATTGACTTTTAATAAATTTAATTTTTTATAGCTCTTATCATTTTTCACACATGTATCAAAAATTTAAGTTCTTACCAGTTAGCTTAACTCATAAAAATTGCGCAGTAAACATTTTTGCAAGTGCTAGTGAGAGTTAACCCTCTAGTAGGCCAATTTTTTTATGAGTTGAAAAATTCAGGAATGGGTGATTTTAGCACGAGAAATCCAAAACTGATGTCCATTTCGATCTGTGACAGTAACTTTTTCCTAGAGGGGAGAAACCCCAAGACCGTCTGGAGACGGGCTCGCCGATATACTTACACATATTTTCAGCTTTCTCTTACACAATGTTGACCTACGAACCGGCAATGCCGTCTGCAGACGGTCAAAAATGCAAAACTGGGGTGTTATATGTCGGCAAGCCGGTCTGTAGACGGTCTGTGTTCGAAAGCAATTTTCTCCATTTCGAATGGTGACATAATTATAAAACTTATATTAAAATACGGTGCTTTTAACAACGAAATCCACCGAATTTTTTTATATCAAAAAATTTTTCAAAACAAAAAATTTCTTTAATTACGAAATTACTAAATAGCAGGAAATAATTAATTTTAACCGTGTTTTCAAAATCTGTAATTCAGCTGCCAATTAAAATAAAACGGACTGACATAACGGATTAAAGTTTACACCGCCCTAAGGGTACGATTTTTGTCTAAAGATCGTACCCTTACGAATATAGAAAAAAATTATTATAGGTGCACTAAAAAGGTGTTTAGTTAACGACCGTCTGGAGGCGGTTCTGCCTACTAGAGGGTTAAAAGTTAAGTTTGCACGTTGCTTCACTCTGCACTGCATACAGTCGATAGTCGATAATCATAAATTCCTAATTAAAAACAATGTAGCGGCCGCATTCTCTGCGGGTACTTACCAAAACCAAATAATCAGCATAACATTGTTATCATGATTATTGATTACGGGTTGCTTATACGCACACCCACACCCATAAAGTTAACCCACGAAAGCAGTGGGGAGAAAATAAATATGTACTAGTGAAGCCGCATGGCGTTAAAACGCCCAAAATTTAATTTAAAATATCTAAAAAAATATTCTAAATGTTAATCAGAGTTATAAGCGATTCGAGTGTCATATTTCATCTAAATGCCATGCAGCCGTTTCTGCATGAAGAGAGGTCACGCATAGTTCCGATTTTTAATATCTCCAAAATTTTAAATCACCCTGTATCGGTAAAAAAGTTCCAACTTTAGAAAATAAAATCTTAACCCATATATAAGTACAGCCACCTCTCATATTTGGAATTGGAAAGAACGGTGCAAATCTAATGACCTTCACAAAAAATGCCCGAACATACTTAGTTAGATCAGTACGACCTTTCGAAAAGGTGGCAAGCCTAATAAAAGATATTTATTTATTTATTTGAGGTTTTTTTAATTTTTCATAAAATTCGACTAAATTCGACTATTCAAACAGGTGAAAGTTCTTTTCAAACGTATTTTCAAGCTAAAATCTTCTTCAATCTCTTTCTCTTTTGACAGAAATTTCAATTAACTGTTGAATTAATTTGAATTTATTAATTTGACAGCCCACTTTTGAAAATCGAGCGAACGGTGCTGATCTGATAGCGTTGATTATTAAATAATTTGAGTATATTTGTTTTGCAGATGGCAACTCTTTTCGAAAAAATAAACCCAGTTTGCACATCTACAGGCCCAGCGCTTTAATTTGACACCCCATTTATTTACGTCGAGCGAACGGTGCAGATCTTTTATTCTGGACGAAAAATGTCTTCGCGTATTATATATATAGATATGTATATGTGGGGTATTCACAACGGTGTCGTAAGTGTCGTATTATTGTATGTCGTAAACTTTAAACGCCTAAAAAATATATTAAGGCGGATCGCAAAGTACCATCAAAGTCATATTATGAATTTTTGCATTGTTAAAAAATAGTTGGTTGTGGTTTCAAGTTCTCTAAACATTTATTTAAGCTTTTAAAGTTTACGACATACAGCAATACGACACTTGCGACAGCGTTGTGAATCCCTCAATAGATATCAGATAAGTAGTAGTTAGCGCACTTCATAGTGAGTCAGCGGATTTATGAGTGCATTCTACATGCATACATACATACATACATACGAGTATAGTCGCCGTCAAAAACCTATTTTGGATTGAGAATTCAACTTTTCTCGGTTTTAATTTTTTAGTTCACTTGAAATCGAAAAATTGTATAGCTAAGTCATTATTTGTATGCGCATACATACATACATATGTAACCAAGTTTATCTTAGATATATCTTTACATGTATAACATGACCACTGTTACGCCGCTCTACTTGTAGTCCCGCTTTGGGTGTGAACATTTTGTCAATTCATTTCTTAAAAATTAATTTTTAATTTGTGTTGATATTATCGCAATCAGTGCATAGATTTATACATATAAATTGTAAATTGTTTGTAAGTTTGTAGCGCATATTCATGTTAAAACAATGTCAATGCCAGAGGGTACCAAATGTAGACACGTGTTTATCACTTGTTCATGTTCCGATTTTGCTACCACACTGCTGCTTTATCAACATCTTCAAGCTCGGAACACTTTGACGACTGCAACTTCACGACGTAACGACAGCGACATCATTTTGTCGACAAATGTCGTCTTGAAGCCAGCTTCTTAAACATTTTGAAGACCTCAGCGACATAGCAAACAGCTGATTTTAAAGTTTGATATTTTCGTATATTTATTTCACAAATTGTGTATTTTTGTTTAAGTAAATAAGAAAAACATGAACAATCAAGAATATGTGATTAAAGTTGCGACAATTTAATTTTGCAGCACTACATCTACTCATTGTCGCCGGCAAAATTAGAAATAGATTTAATTTGGCGACGTCGACAATTGCAGTCCTGCAGCCAAGATGTCGTGCTGTCGTCAAAATAATTGTGTCCGTAAGAACGTGTGTATTTAAAATTTGACAGATGCTGCTTGTCGCTTGCTGTCGTCAAAGTGTTCCGAGCTTAAGTTAACAGCTGTGGCACACTGGATCGGTATTCCAAGTATATTAAAGCAATAAAATACATACATACAATAATAATGAAAAGCGATATTGTAGACTGTCAGACAATCACACAAATTAAATTCATATCCATTTCTTGTCATTGTCACTGCGCCCCAACTAGCCGAATATGGTAAGCTTTGTAGCCGAGATGTTGTGGGCGTATTTTATTTTGACAGCAATTTTGTGATAATTAAAGATATAAATTTGTATTTACGCGAATATGAGTAACGCTGCGTTGAAGGGTGAGACGCATGGGTGTAACCGTAATCTAGGTTACGGAAATTTTTGCACAAAATGGAAAATAAGCAAAAACTCTGAATTTGGGAAGGTTGCTCTGATTTCGGAATAATGTAAAAAATTAAAAAAAAAACAATGTGTTTATTTAATTTAGAGAAAACACTAAATATATGTCGGTTATGGTAAATATTTTGAGCTAAGGAAATGAAGAATACGCTTCTTATAACATTTTCCAGCGAAAATAATGCTGAACTAGGTAAGCATAAACTTCTTAAAACTATTCTCTCAGAGCGAAGTCGAACAGTTATTTTGCCTCCATATTGGTCCGCCATAAAGTTTTTTTTAGTCTAAAGAGGAAGTCTCAGATGAGCTAAAATGGATATTGGAAACCTATCTTTGAGAGAAGCCTACAGCACCGCAGAATATTTCAGTGTATTTAGGGCTGAGGTATGCGATATGAGCTAAGTAAATATGTTCGACCAAGTTCCATTAAAACTCACATCTGTACTGAATATTCGAGCTGCTTTCAAGGCCCTTGTGTCGGTAACGACCAACACGATATGCATACATTCAAGAAGGCCAAGGATCCTTACAATATGTTTGGTTGAGAAAAGGGCTAGACAAAGCCATTAACAGCAGGTCAACTAATTCATTGTATAGTGCTCACTTTGGCCACTGCTCGATGGAAGAGGAACAATGATTTCGCTAAGACTCCCAAAACCCAACTTTCGGCTTATTTCCGCAATATTAATGGGATACTATTTAGACCATTGGCCATATGGCCGGCAAGGGCAAGGTGCATAACAATTTATGTAGAAACTGTAGAAATAAAGAAGAGATAGACTCCATCCAACACATCCTATGTAGAAACACTTCTACGAGAACGTAGCCAGCGTGGGGAAAACCACATCATAAGGTTCACTAGGATGTGCCATAAAATCAAAATCGTTTAAAGGAAATAACCGTTCCCGCCTTTTACTTAACCTAATCCAACCAAAATATGAGGGGTCCGTTGCATAATCTAGATATTTGGTAAAACGATCTTTGCCGCTTCTGTGCTTCGGCCAAGGAGAGACACCTTTACAACTTCTAGTCGTATACGATGCCATAACCAAGAGATCCCAAAGAAGCATAGAGAGAAGCATAGCTCTAGTGTGGTCTCCCCTTCTACCCCCTAAAGCTTCTTTGAACTTTTTGTGGGCCATAGCGGCTACGCTGGCTTGGTCAAGTATGAATGGTCATAACGGCATTAGCTCTGAAAGTATTCAACGCGGATCGCAATACTGGTAACAGAGGAAAGACCAGGGGAAAAGACTTGGCTTGGCACAACTGACGTGTTGTTTTGGCCTTTGCCAAAATCGTTTAGACGATTACAACGCCAATAAATAAGAAGAAGAATAAAGTTTAACAGAAGTGTTGTGATGAGCAGAGAGCACAATAGAACCTCTTAGATCGCAGTGTAGACATCATATTAATATCTATGATTCTATGTAAGCATTTTGAACAACATTCAGGTTAAAAAATTTGTAAAAATTTTAGCAGAGCGTTTGCTTTTTCAAAGAATAAATACTCGTAAATAGAATTTTAAAAATATCATGCATGACACTGCTGATGTTTATTTATCCTATTTTGTGGGTGACATATAGCAACTTTATTTAACATTTTTAATCTTTTGTTTTTTTTTTTACAACACTTATCATTTAAAAACAACTCTAGGCGCCACCAAAATACACAATGCTATCTGAGTAGACTACGAAGGGTTGCTTATTTGCACTTTTAATTAATGCAAAGCGCTTGGCTACAGCTACATATAAGAAAAAAAACAAGATAATTCATCAACTTACGTGTTTTTTTTTTTTGTTCTGAACTACGTTGTACCATTTGTTCTAAGTAATTCTTTTATTAGATTTGAATTATATTACTTCTTTGTAAATACCCACATACTACATACATATTACATATGTATGTATGTAGGTAGGTCTCTGCGAAATTGTTATCACCTTTTGGCATTTCAATGAAATGTTGCTTCCCCAGTTTAATTAAATTATGTATAACCCTGTTTAGATTGGTAAAAAAAAACTATTGATAACTGTTAATGAGACACAACAGCAGAACAAGTCAAGCATGTAGAGCAAATCAAAGTTTTTATTATGAAACCTGAATTGATTAGACATTTCAGTGATAAGATAGTTATTAAAGAAAGTATTGAAGAGACTTAAAAATTCTAAGCTTAAATAGAATGGGTTTACGAGCGTTCACATATGCAAACATATACATTTGTGTATGTATATACACATGTACACAAGTAGGTGAAATACAATTTTCTAGAATTTGGTGCAAATACCCAGGATGGAAAATAATCATCGTACAACAATTTCAACTATACTCACGTACTTATGTTCTTACGTCCTAATGTAATTTACCATGATTTTTATTTTTCGAGTTTAATCAATAAAGATTAAAAATAATAATTAATATTTGAGTTTTATTTGTTCGCTCAAAGGAAATTATTTTTACTTGAATTTTATTTTTTTGATAAAAAATAATGATTATTTTATGATTTAAATTTTTTCGCTCAAATATAATTTTTATTATTGAGTTTTATTTTTTTTTCACTTAAGAATAATGATAGTTCAAAAAACTCAAACGCTATACCAGCGAGATTTCAGGCGTAACCTTTTCAGAGGTAGCGACACCCTAAGAAAAGGAATATGTCCCAGAATTTTCAGGTCAAAATTACAGTAGGTTGCGTCTGTATGGCCTTTTAAGTTTTATAAATAATCATAATTTTTAAGTGAAAAGATAAAACTCAGTAATAATTGTCATCTCTAAGCGAAAAAATAAAAATCATAAAACAATCATTATTTGTGATCGAAAAAATGATTATTTTCGTTGAGAAAAAAACAAAAAATAAAAATCATAAAATAATGATTAAATGCTGATTTACATTTTATTTTTCTCATAATGATTACCGTCCCTGATAAATACATAGTACCTCTGCGTTAAATTCTAAAAATAAATGCCCAAATGGCTTAGGTCATTGTTCTAAAATTGCGTACGACAGACGAAATTAACATCGAAAAGTGCAAGAATTAAAATAGATTATCGTAATGTAGCATCGCAAAAATAAAATAAAATATGTAAAATATTTGCCAACGATTGGTCGAAACGATAAATACAAATGTACTAGTACAAAAATACATATCCATTTACATTTGCAAATATTTTAAAAGATGCCGTGCAAAAATAAATTACTAGTTCTGAACTGAATGCGTTTTTTAACAAATTCCGAACGACGGCAACTCATTTAAACCAGTAGGAGCTACAAAAATGTGGTTGAAATCTAATGAGGATAGTCAGTCTAACCTAATCCAACCTAACCTAGTCTGAATTTATAAAGATGCAAAAAAAAATTTTTTTTATATTTGAAAGATGAATTTTTTTTTTGTCGAGAATATTGCGCATTTTCTTCCATACAACGCATGAACCAAATTTATTTTTATATGGAAGAAAATGCGCACACCCTCGGCAAAAAAAAAAATCTAACAAATCAACGGTAATTTTAAGCGACTTGAAATTTGCACTTTATTAAAATTAAATTGAATGGGCTATAAAACTGTTTACTCAAAATCTTTCTAAGAAATCTGTAATTTAAAAATCGAAATTTCGATAAACATTTTCTTAAGTTTAAGTAATTTTTGTGAACTTTGTGCAAGATTTGAAATTCTTATTTATGCGGTTTCTGATACTGATCGACCCATATTTTAAACGAAAATCATTAACAATAAATAAATAAATAAACATAAATTACCAGCAACATCATTTTGAGTTTTACTGCTATTATTTTACTCGCAGCTATATGTATTTAATATGACCACAACGTATGTACATACGTGTGTGTATGCATGAACACATGCACATGTACATACATATACATGGTTATCCGTCCTCCCATCGTAAAAAAATACAAAACGTTCAACACCCATGCACCGGTTAAAGTTGCAGCAGGCATCGCAGTGCTAAATTTAACACGTGACACCATAACTATTGCGACAACAAGCCAACCAGCTAAAATCGACATGCGTGCGACAAACACAGCGACCACAACTTGCACAACTTGCACAAATTTAGTGCAACATCTAAAATTATACACAGCCACGAACGAATAGGCAAACGTAATCACGGCATGTCGCGATCGGTCAACATGTGCACGTACATACATAAATAGAGAAATAAATGTATGTATGTATGTATGAGTGTACAAATTTTGCTAGGCATAGATATTTCAAAGAGCTGGGCAAGCCGTTGGTTGACAGCTTCAAAGTTGTACAAAGCGGTCAGCATACGTTAATGTAAGTACGTGGCGTATACGCAACATCGACAGTTTAGTCTTGCGGCAGAGAGATTTTTTGCACTGCGACGATGTTTATTGCAACACATTTTTATGTCCGCACCAATAGATAAAAGTGAAAGTTTACAAAATATGTCGATATCTAAAAATACATATGTATAGGTTTAGTGTGAATAAGTAGTATATTCGTTTCTAACATTAAGGAGAGAATGATGAAAATTAGATATTTTTGGCATAACTAATGCAACATGAACTACGAGTATAGTAAAGTTTTTATGCAAAAAAAAAGTGCGTATATGTTTGTATGTACGTAGTTGCATGATCGAACACATTTTGCTAATTTATTCGATGCCACCTTTCTCACAGTAGGGTTTTATGGATAGTTTCATACGATCCATATTACATCTTGTCTCAGTGCTTAACAATTGGTGGTTTCTTCGAAACGGACAATAGAAATTTGTATTTGTTTGAACGATTTCGAAAAAATACTTGACTGTTTTAAAATAAAAATAATTTTTAGTAAAATCACGGCATCCCTTATAATACTTGTATGTTTCATGAGAGAAGAAAAAACAAGAAAAAAAGTTCAACTTACCTCTTAATTCCACTTCAGTGAATGGTTTCTTTTTGACAGACTGTAAAAAAATTATCAAAAGAGCAATTTAATATGACTTGAAGTATTTGTGTAGATATGTAACTATGTACTACATATCGCAGGTGAAAAGATGCTTAGTCCACTTTTCAAGAAATTTAGTCGTTTGATGCAAATTATTGAATGCTGCGCCCAAGAAACAAGTCCATATTTTTCAAAAAAATCGCCCTAGGTGATTAATGGCTTTCTTATTTGCACATAGATGAATTCAGATTTAAAAATTTTGTTTTATGAGACCAGCTCAATATATTTATTTAAAAATTTTCGACAAAATAGACTTAACACCTTTTTCACCTTAACGTAACGATATGTAATTTTTTTTAGATATTTTTAAGTTCAATTGGCATCGCTCACCTTTGTGGTACGTTTCCCCAGCAATGCTGTTCCCAGCATCTGAAAATACAAATAAACCAGCATTGAAAAAATATCACAACAAATTTTAGTTGGGGTTTTAAAACATAAAAACAAGGATCCGAGTGTTGAGCCTGAGATTTACGGCTAAGGCTGTCGTAAAATAAAAAGCGTTTTACCGACTCAATATTTCCCAAAGGCATTTTTGGTTGACTGCTCCATATCTTTCACAATACTCTATCAAATTTGATGATTAAGCCACCATTGTAAAGGCAAACTTTACCGCTTTAGGTAAAAGGTACGCAATTTTCCAACTGCCTTAATTCACGAAGGCCCGTACCAACAGATTTTTTTTATTTTATAGGAGAAGCAAAAAACATCATAAAAAGAGTATCAAAAACAGTTAGGGCTTTTTAAAAAGTGGCATGTAACTTCGTAGTTTTTGATACTAATACTTTAAAATTTTGTATTGCATTTCAATACATCCTATCAAAATCTGTGAAAAACGCAGTTTCGAAAAAATGCGTTGGTTAGGGCCTTTGTGAATTAAAGTAACGATATGTATATAAGCACGTGTACATATCGCATACCGTCTTCAAAACAGGCACAACTAATAATTTGGCAGTTTTGAAATCATACGCTAAAAATGTACACAGAGCTTTTATTTACCTTTCAGCAAAAGCTGGAGCAACCTTGTATTATAATTTGTTAAAAAAAACCTAGAACCTGTGCTAAGAAATAGTTTTTTGCATTTTCTGACAAACGTGTAGTTTTGAGTTGTGTCCCTTTTGCAACCGGCGTGCGATATGTATAAGCTGGTAAATGCTGTATTATCAAAGATCCATTCTGTCTTGGCTTTGAGTTTCTCTAACGCAATAATATCTTTTGTTTCTAGCAGATATAATTGTCTAATAATATTTTGAAATGTGTGTTTGGGTGAATAAAGGCCAGTTGAGCTTTGGAGCAGTGATTTCTTGATGAGTACCTCAGTTAAATATTCTCATGCGACATTTAAACCCATGGCTGTACTGGCTCAAAGATTTTATTTTTTTATAACCCAGAAGCCCAAATTTATCCGAAAACGCTTATTTTCAAAATCTATGTTCGGTATTTTAAAAACGGGCATTAGAGGGTTAAATTAGCCACTAGAATCCTTGCGCTAATTTCTTTACGGCGACTTATTTAGCAGTACAAACACACTTCTTGATAAATTCCCACAAATACAATGAAAAGACATCTACGTCACGTTATATATGAATAGATAGATCTGTGAATTGCCATTCAGTAGGCCTCGGCTTCGAGAAAAAGTCAGTGCAGATTTTTATTCTGTCTCACACTTTTCCTAATGGTCAATAACATTTTTTACAATAGTTTTTTTCTCTCCCTCCTTTGCTTTCACATTCGATAGTGTGACATGTTAGCGACGACTTTTCTTTTTTTGGCTTTATTAAAAAGATATCCCCTCTGGAAAGAAGAGCAATGCGTGGATAGATAGCGTATAGATGGCGTTGGGTCTAACTTATAATTATTTATAAGTATAGCGTTGAGCTGTGATATTTAACATTACTGACTTATTGAATGAGTTTTAATTATCTTTTTTATTTTTAAGCTCACAAATAAGCTTGGAATAAATCTACTCAGATGCCTTTCGTTTGACACCGATCTTTTAAGGTTGTACCTACATACTTATTTAATTGTTTTCCTATAGAACGAACGCATCGACATTATTTTTTCCAAACACCTTCAACAATTATCGCCATATTTTTGCCACGAAATACACGAAAAGCTTCCTCCAGAGTCACACCGTCAATTAATGAAAACCGTAAAAAATCCTTTAGGAAGCTTTTGAGTTTAGTGCGTTCAGACAGGCAAACAGACGTTTTAGGGCACTACATTTAATAAAATCTAGAGATGTACAATATTTGAATGTATGTATAGTGTATTGAGCATATGTAAACAAAAACCACATGAAACCACAACATTTTTTCTAGCTATGTATAAATTGTTCGTATTTTTGGTAGCCAACAATGACGAAATGAGGTGCATACATACATATGTATAATAAACATACATAAATATATGTATTTGTACTCTTTTCATTTTTTCGCAAATTATTTCGAAAATCCTGTAGTATTATTTACCCGTTTTGCTTTTCCAACAGTTTTCACATTTTATAATTTATTTCGAAATTACAAAAATGTTGAAAGTAATATAAGTACTAAATAATAACCAAATTGCAAAACATGTCTGTAAATTAGATTTAAAAATGTTTTGCAATAAATGCAAAGTATTCAAATTAAATATGAGAATTGCAAATATGCGCTAATGATATTGCAGGCTGGTCACAAAATACTTATTCTTAAGCGCAAAATTTAATTAAAAATTGTAGTTGTCGTTTGTTATACCCAAGTGTTTTTTTTTTCTAGGATAACGAAGTAGTTTTTTTTCCGATAAACATAATATGTAGATTAACACAGTTTACAAATGATTAATTAAAATTTGCTACCTTGATAGCAGGTCCGTTGAGGTATGAGTACGGTGACCATTCGTACCGATTTTGGCGGGACAGTAACGATTTTGAGAAAATTGTCCCTTTGAATACTTTTTAAAAGTCGGGACGTATAAGTGTCTCTTGGCTGATTTTTTTAAGGTTTTTATAATTATTTGTTAAGTTTTTTTTTCATGACATGGTTCTAACTTGAATTTAGTGAAATTATAAAAAATAATACTAATTCCCTCTAAAAATGCATGGATATGAAAAATATGTATGTAGATACAGTGGCAAAAAAAAATAAATATTTATTGTTTACTATTTTTTATGAAATAAAGTTTCAAACGTTGTTTAAGAATTAGCGAAGTTCGACAAAGTTTCATCAAAATGTTGAGTTTTTTGATTAAATGTCTTAGAAACATTCCGAGTGTGCAGTTTTGTAGCCCATTCAATTCAAAGTGTAAATTTTAAGTACCGTTGATTTTTTGTAATTTTTTTTTGTGAAAGGCGTTGCTCATTTTCTCCATACAGAAAAATTGTCGGACATACTTTGTATGGAAGAAAACGCGCGAACAAAAAAATGGCAAAAATCAACGGTAAGTCGAAGCTACTTCAAACTTGCACTTTGAATCTAAAAAATCTGTTTAAAATGTTTAAAATTTTTATCAGCATTTGTTAAAATTCAATGTTTTGAAATTTCAATTTACATGGTTTTTTTAGATAATAAATATATTTTCATAAAAAATAATACAAAAATTTTAAACAAAGAAAAGAAAACCAGCCAAAATGTATCTTCCTTATTTATATGCTCGCCACCGTATATATTGTGTGTATACATTTATGCGATAATTTTTCAAGTTTGTTTCTCTTTTTTTTTTGTTTAAAATAAAACTATATTGAAAGATATTATGTCTTTTTATTCTAAAAACAAAATTGTATTATTTGAAAATTAGTATTGAATTTTTACGATAATTTCTTTCAGTTTCCCCTATTTTTCGACTACCTTTAAGTGCGGAATGATGTCTCACATTTTAACTTCTTGCGCCCAGACAAATTTTAACATTTAATTAGCAAGGGTCTCGCCTACGAGTAATAGTGCCAAATCGTTTTAACAAATGGCCATGCATTTTACGAGACATTGCACTGATTTACATATAATGTTATATATCTGTCTGTTGTACTTGAGAAAAATTTTAACCTAATCCAACCTAACCTAGTCTGAATTTATAAAGATGCAAAAAAAAATTTTTTTTATATTTGAAAGATGAATTTTTTTTTTGTCGAGAATATTGCGCATTTTCTTCCATACAACGCATGAACCAAATTTATTTTTATATGGAAGAAAATGCGCACACCCTCGGCAAAAAAAAAAATCTAACAAATCAACGGTAATTTTAAGCGACTTGAAATTTGCACTTTATTAAAATTAAATTGAATGGGCTATAAAACTGTTTACTCAAAATCTTTCTAAGAAATCTGTAATTTAAAAATCGAAATTTCGATAAACATTTTCTTAAGTTTAAGTAATTTTTGTGAACTTTGTGCAAGATTTGAAATTCTTATTTATGCGGTTTCTGATACTGATCGACCCATATTTTAAACGAAAATCATTAACAATAAATAAATAAATAAACATAAATTACCAGCAACATCATTTTGAGTTTTACTGCTATTATTTTACTCGCAGCTATATGTATTTAATATGACCACAACGTATGTACATACGTGTGTGTATGCATGAACACATGCACATGTACATACATATACATGGTTATCCGTCCTCCCATCGTAAAAAAATACAAAACGTTCAACACCCATGCACCGGTTAAAGTTGCAGCAGGCATCGCAGTGCTAAATTTAACACGTGACACCATAACTATTGCGACAACAAGCCAACCAGCTAAAATCGACATGCGTGCGACAAACACAGCGACCACAACTTGCACAACTTGCACAAATTTAGTGCAACATCTAAAATTATACACAGCCACGAACGAATAGGCAAACGTAATCACGGCATGTCGCGATCGGTCAACATGTGCACGTACATACATAAATAGAGAAATAAATGTATGTATGTATGTATGAGTGTACAAATTTTGCTAGGCATAGATATTTCAAAGAGCTGGGCAAGCCGTTGGTTGACAGCTTCAAAGTTGTACAAAGCGGTCAGCATACGTTAATGTAAGTACGTGGCGTATACGCAACATCGACAGTTTAGTCTTGCGGCAGAGAGATTTTTTGCACTGCGACGATGTTTATTGCAACACATTTTTATGTCCGCACCAATAGATAAAAGTGAAAGTTTACAAAATATGTCGATATCTAAAAATACATATGTATAGGTTTAGTGTGAATAAGTAGTATATTCGTTTCTAACATTAAGGAGAGAATGATGAAAATTAGATATTTTTGGCATAACTAATGCAACATGAACTACGAGTATAGTAAAGTTTTTATGCAAAAAAAAAGTGCGTATATGTTTGTATGTACGTAGTTGCATGATCGAACACATTTTGCTAATTTATTCGATGCCACCTTTCTCACAGTAGGGTTTTATGGATAGTTTCATACGATCCATATTACATCTTGTCTCAGTGCTTAACAATTGGTGGTTTCTTCGAAACGGACAATAGAAATTTGTATTTGTTTGAACGATTTCGAAAAAATACTTGACTGTTTTAAAATAAAAATAATTTTTAGTAAAATCACGGCATCCCTTATAATACTTGTATGTTTCATGAGAGAAGAAAAAACAAGAAAAAAAGTTCAACTTACCTCTTAATTCCACTTCAGTGAATGGTTTCTTTTTGACAGACTGTAAAAAAATTATCAAAAGAGCAATTTAATATGACTTGAAGTATTTGTGTAGATATGTAACTATGTACTACATATCGCAGGTGAAAAGATGCTTAGTCCACTTTTCAAGAAATTTAGTCGTTTGATGCAAATTATTGAATGCTGCGCCCAAGAAACAAGTCCATATTTTTCAAAAAAATCGCCCTAGGTGATTAATGGCTTTCTTATTTGCACATAGATGAATTCAGATTTAAAAATTTTGTTTTATGAGACCAGCTCAATATATTTATTTAAAAATTTTCGACAAAATAGACTTAACACCTTTTTCACCTTAACGTAACGATATGTAATTTTTTTTAGATATTTTTAAGTTCAATTGGCATCGCTCACCTTTGTGGTACGTTTCCCCAGCAATGCTGTTCCCAGCATCTGAAAATACAAATAAACCAGCATTGAAAAAATATCACAACAAATTTTAGTTGGGGTTTTAAAACATAAAAACAAGGATCCGAGTGTTGAGCCTGAGATTTACGGCTAAGGCTGTCGTAAAATAAAAAGCGTTTTACCGACTCAATATTTCCCAAAGGCATTTTTGGTTGACTGCTCCATATCTTTCACAATACTCTATCAAATTTGATGATTAAGCCACCATTGTAAAGGCAAACTTTACCGCTTTAGGTAAAAGGTACGCAATTTTCCAACTGCCTTAATTCACGAAGGCCCGTACCAACAGATTTTTTTTATTTTATAGGAGAAGCAAAAAACATCATAAAAAGAGTATCAAAAACAGTTAGGGCTTTTTAAAAAGTGGCATGTAACTTCGTAGTTTTTGATACTAATACTTTAAAATTTTGTATTGCATTTCAATACATCCTATCAAAATCTGTGAAAAACGCAGTTTCGAAAAAATGCGTTGGTTAGGGCCTTTGTGAATTAAAGTAACGATATGTATATAAGCACGTGTACATATCGCATACCGTCTTCAAAACAGGCACAACTAATAATTTGGCAGTTTTGAAATCATACGCTAAAAATGTACACAGAGCTTTTATTTACCTTTCAGCAAAAGCTGGAGCAACCTTGTATTATAATTTGTTAAAAAAAACCTAGAACCTGTGCTAAGAAATAGTTTTTTGCATTTTCTGACAAACGTGTAGTTTTGAGTTGTGTCCCTTTTGCAACCGGCGTGCGATATGTATAAGCTGGTAAATGCTGTATTATCAAAGATCCATTCTGTCTTGGCTTTGAGTTTCTCTAACGCAATAATATCTTTTGTTTCTAGCAGATATAATTGTCTAATAATATTTTGAAATGTGTGTTTGGGCGAATAAAGGCCAGTTGAGCTTTGGAGTAGTGATTTCTTGATGAGTACCTCAGTTAAATATTCTCATGCGACATTTAAACCCATGGCTGTACTGGCTCAAAGATTTTATTTTTTTATAACCCAGAAGCCCAAATTTATCCGAAAACGCTTATTTTCAAAATCTATGTTCGGTATTTTAAAAACGGGCATTAGAGGGTTAAATTAGCCACTAGAATCCTTGCGCTAATTTCTTTACGGCGACTTATTTAGAGAAACACTTCTACGAGAACGTAGCCAGCGTGGGGAAAACCACATCATAAGGTTCACTAGGATGTGCCATAAAATCAAAATCGTTTAAAGGAAATAACCGTTCCCGCCTTTTACTTAACCTAATCCAACCAAAATATGAGGGGTCCGTTGCATAATCTAGATATTTGGTAAAACGATCTTTGCCGCTTCTGTGCTTCGGCCAAGGAGAGACACCTTTACAACTTCTAGTCGTATACGATGCCATAACCAAGAGATCCCAAAGAAGCATAGAGAGAAGCATAGCTCTAGTGTGGTCTCCCCTTCTACCCCCTAAAGCTTCTTTGAACTTTTTGTGGGCCATAGCGGCTACGCTGGCTTGGTCAAGTATGAATGGTCATAACGGCATTAGCTCTGAAAGTATTCAACGCGGATCGCAATACTGGTAACAGAGGAAAGACCAGGGGAAAAGACTTGGCTTGGCACAACTGACGTGCTGTTTTGGCCTTGGCCAAAATCGTTTAGGCGATTACAACGCCAATAAATAAGAAGAAGAATAAAGTTTAACAGAAGTGTTGTCATAAGCAGAGAGCACAATAGAACCTTAGATCGCAGTGTAGACATCATATTAATATCTATGATTCTATGTAAGCTTTTT